TCCAAGCCATCTTTCCAGTCTGTTTCTTCCCAGCCCTGTCGTACCAGGCAGAGATAGGGAACAGCTTGAGGAACACTCTGTGGGGTGGAAGAGGGGAATCTCAAAGTCTACATGGATGAAGAATTCGTGCTCTCCCTGCATCTAGGGTAGAAAGTGGTGATTTTTATGGTTGTTCTCTACTTTACCCTTCATTGGAATAGGAACCAGCTCCTACTGTTCCCCAAAGAATAGTAAGGGATTTTTTTAGCATACGATGGAGTATGCTGTCCTCTCTCCCTCCCTTTCTCTCTCACGCAAACACACACATACATCACTGTTACTTGGAGGGAGGAAGTAAGGCAGGAGTCTGTACTGAAAAGAGAGAGATGCTACGCAACCTGAACTGTCATCACGTGAAGTCATTGTAGAGCAATAGGAGCTATGAAAATGTGCTTATGTTTATCCAGCCTACGTTGGTACCTTTTTACTCTCCAGTTGTTGCTTGTCCTTCCCTTTCCTTCAATGTATTTGAAAGTGCTGTGGCCTTTCTTGCAGGTTTCCCAGTTGAGTACAATTGCCTTAATGGGTGACTTCATTCCCCATTAGCTTCTGCTCGGTCAAATGCTCTGGGAAATGAATCTGCTTAACCACAGAATTAAGCATGGTGAGATTAATTTTTCTTCCTTTGCTTTGCTTTTGCCTACACAGAGTGATAAGACCTGGCCAAGCAGGACCACCACTAAGTAATGATGCCTTCAGAAGCCAAAAATATGAAATGCTTTGTGTAGTACTTGTTTGAGTATCACGCCATGCCCAGTGCAGTCTTTAATCTGATGCCTTTGTGCAGCACAACTTGCAAAACAGCTACAGAAACACCCCTTGGTAGGAAGGAAGTTAGCAGTGACTGTAGAGGCTATTAGAGATCTTGATCTCTCTCAGCAAGCTCTAAGATTGTTTGAGATCTGGGCAGAGCTTTTGCACTGTTAGGACCAATCACTAACTAGAGCATTTTTGCCTGATGTGTTATGAGAGATTGTGCAAGAGGATGGACGTGGGTAGTGTTTTGAGGATCACAACTCCTTGCTCCGATGCTGTGGTCTCATTAACTGTAAGAGAATGAGACCTCCCTCCTGGCTTAACCAGGGGAACAACTGACTAGACCTAGGGCTAAGGCTCAGCCCTGAGAGAGGAACAGTTGCCCTCCCCCTTCCCCTGTTTAGGGAAACAGTTTAGGGCTGGCACTGAAAGGTCCATCTGTGCTGAGACTCCTCTTTGCATCTACCTGAAGTCACTCTGCCAAGAACTCTGGACACGTGGTTAGAAGGGAAATACTTCCCTGCCAGAGGCCGACTCTTGCTTCAAGGGCTTGTATAAAATGCTGTGATCATTTATTAGACCTGGCCAAGGACTACAAAGGTGGGAGAGAAAGAAAATTAGGAATGAGGACTGATGATATCTTTATCATCATCTCCTTATTAAACAATTATTATTCTCATGTGGGACATCTGGGTCATGTGTAAATCAATGCAAATCAAAACCTGTGGGAATTTTCATTGCATTGTTCCACAGAATAACTTGATTTCCCCTCACCCCCAAGCTTTAATTCTTTCTGCTTTGCATGCCTTTTTTAAAATATATTTCAAGGGCTCTATGCTTCAAATTTTTGGTATGAAGCAAGAGATATCTATTTGTGGTCTTTTTCAAAAGTTTCAGATGTAAATTGAAAGGAAAACTGTTATTGGCACTTAATATTTTTAGCATTTTATTGTAATTGTGATATAATTGCCCTTTGAGCTGGTGTTTAACTGCACCTAATATGGATACATTTATGGTAAATTAATGAATGTACTGCGTTGCAAGATAGGTGAATCAGACAAGGAAAGATTTGTTTCTTACAGATTTGGGTTTTTGTTTTGGGTAGTTTGGCTCTTTTGATAACTTACAAAAGAGAGATACTTCCAAACAGATGGGTAACTTAAGTATCTACACAATTTTTTAATGCCATTTTAGAAATCCTTAGTAGTAAAAATTGATGGTTCTGGCCTTAATTCTTTCCAGTGCAGGTGAAGAATACTACTATAGTTACATTCTGACATAATCATTTAGGTCATTGAAAATTAAAGTTATATCCTGAGAAAGTATTTATTTTAGTAGCCCATTGCTTAATCTGCAAGCAGGGTAAATTAATCCACTCCAACTCCCCCAAAAGTGGGTTTTTGGGTTTATCCTTGGGAAGAAGACTATGATTTATGTTTAGGAAAAGACTCCATGTGTTCTAATAGCCTTAAACACATTTGTGTTTAATTCTGACTGAGCCATGAATAGGAAATAATATATGGGATGTGAATACATTGGTGTAGCCATAATATATTAATTTATAGAAAGCTGCAGGCTGAACCTATGTGATATAGACCACAATATAAGATGATAAGTGTAAAATCCCACTATAGCATCTTTATAGTATCGCTTTCAGCACAGATCTGAACCACACTAGAAATGAAATTTCCATACTTTGTAGTCTGTTCTTTGGCTTGCTCATAATGCAGTGACCTTAACTAGCAAAACCAAGCAGTCTCTCCTTGATAGAAGAATGAAACAGGTTTATATCCTGTCCATCAGCCAGCCCTACGCTGTAGGAATTTCCCTTTCAAACCATGTTCTTTTCTTTTATGGACCAGGTTTTCCACTCAGCAAGTGTACAGCAAGCATATCCTGACCTTCCCTGTGGCTGAGAGGAACTAAATTGCCCTCCTTTGTTGACCACTGGAGCTGAGGTTGCCCTGTCAGTTCTGAAGTCCTCCAATACACACAGGTTTGTAGCCCTCGACATTTAGGTTTTTCAGATTAAGGAAAATGCTGGCAGAGTATACTGATTCCCTTTGGCTGATTCTGTGTTTTTTGCTTAAATTTGAACTTTCTGTTGTGTAACTTCTAGCTTTGTGTATGTAATTGATAATTACCTTCTCTAAAAGACTTACTATGTGGGGAATCTTGAGCAAGTTTACTTCTTGTCACATAGTTCCTTCCTCCTTAGGCCAGCTTCACAGCTGCTTTGAGGTAAAATGCACATAGCATCTCTTAGTAGAAATATTGGCTTTTTTATTAGAGTCTTTGAAAAGCTAGTGTTTTAGTACCACAATATTCTTTATTTCTTCCTCAGTCGTCCATATAGACAAATGTCAAAGAGACAGACTGAGATTTGTGTTTCATATGCACTGCAAGCAGATGGAATATTAAAACATCTGAGACTTATCTGAAATCAAAGATGCTATGTAATTTCTGTGAAGGTGTTTATTCTCTCTCAGTCACAGGGCAATGGTTCATTGACAGAAAATGGGCACTGAAATAATTTGCTGATTGAAGGATCTGCTCACAGAAAGAGAGATTTTTCTTCTTAGTACTTCACTGAGACTTACAATATATGATTTGAGTCTCTGAATCCTCCATAAATTTCATTTGTAACTTTGTTCTGTAATTTTAACAGTTCATGGTTTATGGTTTCTCAACTGTTAAATAAGTATAATATTATACCCAAATTGTATGATGGCTTGAGTGTGTGATATTATCACTAAATAATACACATGTATGTTGCAATATTTAAGTGCTATGGAGGCTTTTTAAATATCACACAGCCAGAAAGGTGCACTGTGCAGAAATTTGTCTTGGGGACATGGCTTGAAAAGTTGAGTGGAGGTTGTATAAAAGTGCTGGGGAAGATCAGGTACAAATGGAGCCTGGTTTTTGTTGAGACCCTTTATGTGAAGTTCTCTATGGGATATCATGCACTCCATTCATCAGAGGGGATGCTTCAGCCCTTCTCTTATCCTGGTTTTGTCTTTATTCTTTGGGACTAAGATGCCAGAGCTGCAGACAATGTATGGCTACAGTCCAAATTCAATTTGCAACGACTCCAGGATGATGAAGTTATTGTATATCAAAGTTTCAGTCTCTGGAGTGTCAGAGTGATATCACTACGTCAGTTTTGTTCTGAACACATTGCAATATAATTATTATTACAGTCAGTTCATATGGAGACATACTTCTTAATGAAAGCTATGATTTTGACCTGTGTTATAAGACTTAAATTTGGGAGTGTGGAAGCTGGGTTTAATCTCATTAAGAGTTTGATTCACTCCTGTCACCTGTGAATTATTATGTGAATTTGTGCAACTTTTTCCAGTGTGATGCTTAGAAACTTTCTGAAAGACTTATGGTATGAAGAATAAGCACGAATACATTCTCTTCCTTTCTTTATCAGGGAAGGTTCTGCTGACAGGGTTCTGCTGGTCCTTTTAAAACCTTTGAGACCTCCAATAAGAGAAGCAATCCCAATATTTATTCCCTTTGTAATCTATTCTATAGTGGACATTTGTTATCAAGTTGTTGAGTACTGTCGTAGTGTCATGCAGTCAGGGAAAATATTTTTGGCGTACTTTGCATTGATTCCAGGAAACTGACCACAATCCTCTGGCACTATCATGGTAAAGAATTGCGTTGAGCTACCTAATTAGGCACTGAACATTACAGAAAACAGAATTAGACTCTCTCTATCCATTTATTATGTATTACTGTCATATCTAGAATAGCATTCTTGCAGAACGATTCAGAAGTATATTCCATGTTTAAAGGGTTTTCATTTAATCAGCAGTCACTCCACTTCAGGATGCATCTTTTTATGAAGGTCTTGTTGCCGGTATAAGGGTTTTGTTGACTGATGGTCTGGGTTTCTTTCTCTCAACAGGAATGTCAAGAAGCATCCATAATATAGAAGGGAGTTGGTGCATGTAGGCAATAGAAAGGTGAATACGAAAAGGAAGAATTACTCTTAAATCCAGTCCTTTGAAAAGTTAAGTCTTGTTTAGCTCCTCAGTAGAAAGAAATGGCTGAAAATAATGTATTTCATTTGAATTAAGGAAGCTGAGCATTACTGCAGCAACTTAAGAAAAACCCTCTTGACTTCCTGGAAACTGAAAGAATTTTTTTTGAAGAAGTAGTTTTCTCTGACATCACTAAACTGCACAGCGAGTTTGCGAGTGGTTAGTTTGGGGCAATAGAGGAAGCAGCTCCTTCGCAGATAAGCAGGCAGTGCATTGTATGTGCCTAGTTATTCTCCTTTTTGGTTCAAGTATTGCTGAGAACTTCTTTTGCAGACAGATAACACTTATTTTGCTTTCCAGAAAGAGACACATGCTGTTTCATAAGGATACGCCTGATTTCCAGAAGTAACCATGTTTTTGTGGCTTAAACTCTTAACATTTGGTGTTGCATTTCTGAGGCAGGATGCTTTTGTCAAAGGTACGTAGCAATTGATATTTCTTTCTCTCATTTTGATCCCTTAATGTACTCTGTAGAGGTAAAACAAATGAAAAGTTTTGCAAAGTGGAGAAATAACATCTTTGTTCGGAAACTAGAATACATTCGTATGCAATGGTGTCAGAACCTAGATCAGGAAAATTGATGTATAATGTACAAGGCTAAAATGTCTTCCGCGTGGTCATACACAAGAGTTATGTGAACCATATAAAAAGAAATATTTTCTGGTGGTATTTGAAAAAGAATACATCTTATGTGAACCTGTTCAATACAGTCTTTATGTTTGGTTTCATCTCATGTTGCAGTACTCCATTTTCTGTGTTTAAATCCATCAAGAAAAAAATCTTTTCATCCATTTTAGCCACTCCCTGATCTCAGAATCTGCTTACAGTTCCTCAAATTTTGATTTTTACTGCAGCAGGGTTATTAAAAAAATCTAAACATTGTAAATTAGTCTCTACAGTTGGGAAATTACGTATTTTATATTAATTTGATAAAATAGAAATTATTTATTGATGTTATAAAAAACTTCTTAAAGAGTTTTCAAAATTTTTAACTAATTGCCCCACTGCAGGTTAATTTTTTCTAAGAGAAAGTTAGAGGACAAGAGGTTGATATTGCTAAACACACTAGATGTGACAGATAATGTGAGTAGCAAGAACAGCAATTAATTTTGAGGTAACACTTTATATAAAGACAAAAAATGGATCTATGTTTAAGAAAATACTTTCTTGAAAAGAACATGCAGCATTCTGTGTATGTGTACCTTCCGTCAGTTTAGCTAGTTCGTGTAATTTGGGATAGTTTGTGGGCTGACACAGAAGTTTTTCTCTAAAGTAATGTTCATCCTAAAAAGTGGCTTGAAACATATATTCTGAAATGGCAGCAAATTATATGCAGGCTGAAACCTCTTTTCACATACATTGAATTTATACATGCTTCTGTCATCATGTCACTATAGTAACTCCAGGTTTATACTGATGAAGCAAGCAAGAAAATGATCTGCCCTTAGTTGATAACCAGCTAAGAGCATTTGAAGCCTGAGCATTAGTTCTCTTGTCCTTCAAAGTCTCTGAAGAGAGGTAGCACTGAATAAATCTGGCTGGTAGCTGTTGGATATTGTAAGAAAACAAGTGAATGCTGTACTGTAGAGGAAAAGAAAAAAATCTTACTTTTCCTGGCCTTTTTTTTTTTTTTTTTTTAAATCTGCTGTCCTACTTTCCATTTTATAAGTCTTTCTGAGGCTTCCTACCGCTCTCTTTTCTCCAGAAAGGGCAGGTTACTGTCTGCTCTCTCAGCCACCTCCGCAGTCAGTCAATGTGGTAGCTAACAGACAGGGCTGGAAGACAGAAAGAGGGGAAGCAGTATTTTATTTCAAGTAGTAGTTATTTTCTCTGTCCACACACAGTAGTCTAGCTCAAGACAGTTCCTCTCTACACACATCTACTAAATAGAATAGTATCAAAGAAATTATAAGTTTTAACTCCTGTCTAGTACATTTAAAGTAATTAGTAGTCTCGCGCTGTAGTATCAAGTGCTCAACCTCACAGACCTTGTTTTCACTATGTAGTTTGGCATAGCAGTTGATTCTCCTGTCAGGGTGACAGAACCATTATACTTCAACTTTGCAGTGTAGATTACTCTACCTCGTACTCTGCCTGGAAGACTGGGGAGTTTTCTAGGGAGGAGTTTGTTAATGGAAGAGCAACATTTGGAAAAGTTGATGTAGGCTTTGGTTTTATGGCAATAACAATTTTCAGGCACTTGTAAGTGTTGGGTGGGCTTTGGGATTTGTGTCGTTATTGTTATTATTATTCTGCAAGAGCCTATTGTACCTAGTGATTCTGAAGACTTAGAAGGAGAAATTTTAAGGATGTCTGACTTCTACTACAAGCGCAGCCATCCTATGAAACATCTCTAATTTCTTGTAGTCACCAAGCCACTTCTAAGAGCTCAAAATACATTAAACCAACCAACCAAACAAGTTAGGAATATTGAGAGCCTATAAAAAGGTCTTTTCACTATGTAAATCCCCCAAATAAAAGACATGTATCCAGCTGGTTATCCTGGTAAGAAATAGAAGACTAGTAGTATTTGTGGATGTAGCCACATATACTAATATATGGTACCAGTAAACACCAAACTTGGAGTTCGATCTGTCCTTGTAAACATTTGCACTGCTGAAACATGTCATTAAATTCATCAGTATTTTGTGCACTATTTGTCAGTTTTTTATGTCTCCCTACATGGAATAGCTAGCTTTAGTCAAATCTTCAGTTGCCAGATGTGTGCTTCTTAAAATCTTTAGTGTAAGATTGATAACACCTTCTAATATCTAGGCTGACTTCCCAATCCAAAAAGTTATGCTAACTTACCTGATACAGTGCATCAATGCCTGTTTAGGAAAAAAAACACCAAACCAAACAAAGCCCCCAAAACAACCCAATAAAAAAGAAACAAACCCCAACCAATAAAACCCAACCCCAACCCCCCCCAAAAAAAAACCCCAACAAAAACCAACAACCCAAAAAACACAACACGAAAAAACCTTTCATTCCATTTAGAAAAAAAAAAATGTTTGCAGGAAAAGCACTTTTTTTCCATGAGATCATTAATTCAGGTTCCTCCCCCGCCCTCCACAAAAATATTAGCAATTTGACAGCTTTCAAATGCCTTCACCCACTTCTGAGCCATTTCCTTTGTTTCAGGAAACTAAATAATTGCTTGATGGTTTTAGGTGTGACTTTTTTATTTTCCAGGTTAAAAGTACCAAGCTTTGGCAAGCACATGAAATCTGGGGCCACGCAGCCTCCATGCCCAACAGCTGTGGAGGTTTCCATCTAGAAGTGTTATCTTTTCTTCGCACAGACATCAGCATCAGTGTAGCTCATCCTATAGATTTGACTGTCAGTGAACAGATTTTCCACAGATTGGTCTATCCCTTTGTAAAGATTCTGGCAGACCTAATTTTTAAGTAGCGGAACTTAGCGGTCTTGGATGATTCTGTGTGTAGGATAAAGGAGAAGGAAAATGGCTCTGGCAGGAGGATAGGTATTAAGGTAAAAGAATGAGAAGTGAAGGCTTTAGAGTACCACCTCTGATGTTTTCTTCTGTTTAGGGCTGTATCATATTTTTTTTCAGTGGTGCACTTAAGGCTGTCTGTAATGCATACACCACAGTCCTGCGCTCAGGGACCTCTTAATCATTTGAAACAAATTGCCTGCTTTTCACATCTTGCCCAGTCCTCATAATTTATTCAAAATCAACAGAGACAGAGCTTCTGTATGCACAGGGGTGCAGGCAGCCCTGCTCACTTCCTGGGCTGGCAGGACCCAAGCCAGTTCTAAACTGGAACCCATTGAGTTTCATTATGGTGGGGCACTTCAACCACCAGCAGGACATGTTAATCAGACCACAGCAACACACTAGCTGCATGGTTTCTGGACTAGAATTAGCTAGTGATTTGGACTAAACATGTAATTTTCTTTACCCGTTCACCTAGACCTGCACAAACCTAATGAGCAGGGGGCCGGGTTGTTATGTGGTATATTAAATATAACTGCAGATAGGACAAGAGACTTCGGTTCTGGACTAATGGGTCTTTCTTACATAGTATGGAAAAGGCATTTGCTAGTCCTTCTGTATTCACTCACCACAGTATATTAACATACTGAGAATGTTTTACCATGGCAAAATTGCCATGCAGAGGCCAGTTCTAAAGAAAATCCTCAAGCTCTTAGTGGCATGCTATGTTGTAACCATTTCCTTTAGCTTTAGTTTTAATTTGGTGACTTTATATCTGTATATTTAGGTTCTGAAGCACAAATGAACGAGCAGGTTAGAAACACTGCACATATACTGAGATAAGACAGAAGAAGTGGGGGGAGGAAACACGATGAATTGACTTCAAAATGTTCCTACTATGAGGAATTAAGCTCTGTTTTTCTGACTCCTGTGACCTATCTGTAGAACTGCCTGCCTCCCTGGGAGTCTGTGTATGTGTTAAACGACTAGGCAGTCTCCACATTGAAATTGTGAATGCATTGTATACAGTGCATGAAAATTATCCTGTTTTCTCTTCCTTTGCAGCTGCAGTGTGGTATATACTGTACCATGCTGGGAGCAAGGAAACAAGAACAGCAGGCCATGAAAATGTTCTGTCCTCTGTTTACGTTCTTGATCTAGTTTTAAGAGTTAATATTCATAAGCATACTTCTGGCCCACCAGGAAGGCAGAGTAAATTAACCCACAATGAGCTCTCTGCTGTCATGACTTGACTTCTTTACGTACTCTTTCAACTGCCTCATTTATATTTAGCTTGAGCATCTCTGCATTACCCCGTGTTTTGCAGCACAGACGTGCCCCGAGTCTTGGCACTATCATTTGCCTTTGTTTGGGTGGCTGTTCCTCCTGTGCTGCCTGCCCTGGGTGTGAGGACCACAGAAGAGATCAGTGTGGTGAGGAGCTGCAGAAATAGACCCGAGACAGCAGAGGACTGTCAGCAGACACTGTAGGAAAGCGTCATGTGCTGGGCGAGGCTTGCTAGCATGAGTTTAGGTCTTTGTGGCTGTAAGTGACCTCATTTCAAACCCTAGCAAGAACATGAGTGTTACAGAAATGTGGCAGCTTAGATAGGGCTGGGCTGGATGTCTGTGCCCTTTGAGGTGGCTGCTGGGGCTGTGACTGACAGTCCTGCCTGGGAGACGGCAATTGTCCCTAAGCTCTGCTGCTTCTGCATAATGTGGAGGTGTCATTCACATTTATTAATCTTTAATCGTATATAACTAGAAATCAAGCAGGTATTTATTTCAGGTAAAATTAGCAAATACAGAACATCCAAAACATTTTTGGGGGAATAGTTTACTCTCTTCAAAGCTCAGTTTAGGCCCCAAAGCACTTCTGTGCAAAAACTGGTAAAAATTTTTGAAGTGGAAAAACTCTGACTTCCTTCTGTAAATGTCAAGATTAAAGTAACAGATACA